GGCATTGTCTTTGCGTTCCTGCTCTCGCTGGTCACTCGCTTCACCAAGCATGTCAGAATCATTGAACCTGGATTTGTGTTTGTGATCTCATACCTGTCCTACCTCACAGCAGAAATGCTTTCTCTTTCTGCCATCCTTGCGTAAGTCTTTTATTTTATTGTTCTCTCTGGCAGTGCTGGAGATGGAGTGTGGTTTTTAAAGCCAATGAAATGTCAGATTTAAATCACAGAGGAAAACTAGAGAATACTACACATAAAAAAACAAGGACCTGTTCTTAAAATCATGATCATAAGTGAGCAATGGGTTACAGATCTAAAATACAGGCTTGAAAAGGAGTGAGGTTTTCCAGGGTCCGCTTTGCAGCATGAGGGTCCTTATTGTAGAATGTACTTATTTGTTGGTCCCATATATGAATGCTAGTGCTTTGATCATAACTGCATAGAAATTCAAATTTTCATTCTGCCACAGAATTTGTGATTAACACAAACATTTTCTCAAGCATGAGACAAAGGAGAGTATTGCTCTGACATGCTGCGCTCTCCGCTTACAGATTTTAAACTGCCAAATTTTATATTATTCTTTGAAACTTTCTCCATATGGGCAATTCCCCGGCAATCAGCTAACTAGGTGTCAGGATAGGCAGAGTAAATTTGCCTGCCCTGTACTGAATCCCAGTGTGATCTTTCCCCTCTGCTGTATGTTGGTTCTGAGCATACTGTCCATCTCAGTTTTGCCTACTCACTTTCAGTTGTTATTAGCCTCTACTGTTTCACAGGCTCTCAACCAGAGCAACACCATAACCAGTATTTTCAAGATCTGAAAAACCTACTGCAAATGTCAACTTAGGTTTATATCTAATGTAAGCTTTAAAGTATTGACTGTGAAATAGTCTGGAAAGTTGAAAGGCAGAGGAAGCTGGAGTTTTTTATGATCTAATTAAACATTATCTTAGGAGGTGGGTGTTTGTGGTATATTTTCCTTCACAGTTCAAACTCTACAGTATTCATTTAGATGCATTTATTTATTTCAAGAATACAATTGGAAGCTTTTTTTCCCTGTCTGGCAACTAAAGTAGAGAGAGAAATATGTTGCAACAAATATTATTATTCAAAGAAATGATGGGTTTCTTTTCAGGATAACTTTCTGTGGTGTCTGCTGTCAAAAATATGTCAAGGCTAATATTTGTGATCAGTCTTCTACCACCGTGAGGTATACCATGAAAATGTTGGCAAGTGGATCTGAGACTATTATATTCATGTTCCTGGGAATTTCAGCTGTAAATCCAGACATCTGGACATGGAACACAGCTTTTATACTATTGACTTTGGTCTTCATCTCAGTGTACAGAGTCATTGGTAAGAAAAACTGTCATTCAATTTTTGCAATGTTGATGCAAAACGTATTTTCATGCTATACGGGATCATGGCATTTAGGGGCTTGTGCTGTTTGATATGCACCCCTAGTTCTCAGGAATCTCAGTTGAAGTTATTACTACTAATGGTGGGTAGGAGAATAGATTCTATAGTAAGCTTCATCATTTGCTGAAATCATAGACAGTTTTAATAAGCTGTGTCAGGTAGCACACCTGAGTCACCCAAGGACTAATTTCCTGGATTTTGCTGGCACTGGCAAATCTGTAGATCGAATGGACTTTATGCTTAGAACTTCTTCCTAAACAAAAGACTTGCATTTTTTGTCAACCATCTCTTTACTCCTCCCTCTTCCCTTAGCTCTTTTAATTCTATAATTAAGAGATTATATTAAGCTAATTTTATGCTTGGCTTCAAGCTTGAGACATGGTGATGTAACGCCCAACACAATTATAGCTCATATTCACTGGTATACGGTGCAAGTGATTTCCAATGGCTGGTGAGAAACAAAGAATGAGAGGCAGTGCTACTGCACCCATTTGGTAGCAGGGATTAGCTGTCATTTTATTGGCACTATATAAATGATTCACTTTCAAATATGTCAAACTCCAAATGATGAATATGAATTTACTAGGGTGTAGCTTATATTCAAGTCTGTACTATTTAACCATTGCTTTGTTAAGTGGCAAAAAAAGACACCCATGTAGTATGCTAAAGCACGCCTGAGCGGAATGTACACACTCACATTTGCATACAGACACCCAGAAAAGAATTAAACAAAACTTGGCTCGTGAAGGCTCCAATACCTGAGTTCAAAGGAAATACAAATAAAACCCTATAGTTAGATGGCTGCTCTTGCCTTTTTGGTTGAAGCCTCCTGGTGCATGAGTGGAGGGTCTAACCCTATGTCCTTCCAGATAGCATTCTGCATAGCAAATTGATGTAGTCTAATTAACTACCTCTCCCAGCAACCACCGGGGTTGTGTGGCGCTTCAATAAACCGTTACATCCTTGGCTGTTAGCATTTTTGACGTAATCCTGGGTAACTAATGGTGTTGCTGTATTGGTGGAATATACACAGGGGCTCTCAGTAAGAGTCATCATCAATAGCCAAAATAAAATTTAAAAATATCAACAATGACAGTAAGTGTCAGTGAAATAATTAAACTAGATGGTTGATTAAAAACACTGGAGATATGGTGATGTCAGGCCTTACATAATTACAGCTCATGTTCTCCTGGAGGAACTGCAGTGGTGACCTGAATTTCTTTACAAAGATCCCTCCCACCACCAGGCATGGGTCACAATCTGCACTCCTGAGCACAGGGACTACTCCTGGGGAGAAGTGCACGGAAGGGGAGGGATGCCTTCCTCTGCTGCCCTACCACAGAAGGGAGCACACAGTGAGTGCACCCCTGTATGGGATGATGCAGCACTCACTTCCTCTGCACAGCTGGAAGCTCCATGAGGCATTGTACCTTCTTGATCTGCAAGTCCCCCCCAAGCTCTTGCAGAGGGATACATCTCTACAAGGACCCCAATGTAGAGTGCTGGTGTAATGCCACAGTTTAGCCCCCGAGACACAATGGTATGCAGTCAAAAAATCTGCAGTATGACATGTTAATAGTATCACATTGCCTCCCGAAATCAACACCATTATAACATCACTGTCTTCTTGAAAATAACAGAGTAAAATGTCATAAATCATTTCTTACTGCACTGGAAATTCTGCTCTACTCTTCTTCCTCTGTTACGTTTCAAGTAGCACCACCCAGGAGGCCAGCCTGATGATATAATAGTAGTGCATTGGATTGCCATCAAGGGGTGTGAAATGGGGTCCTTATGGATTGTGGCAGTGGTGACCTGAAGAGATATAGGTTGAAATCTTGGCCCCACTGAAGTCACTGGGAGTTTCAGTGGTTATGGGAGGGGTGGGAGGGTCCCAGAGCTCAGGCTCCAGCCAGAGCCCTGAAGTCTACACAGCAATGAAACAGCCCCGTAGCCCGAGCCCTGTGAGCCTGAGTCAGCTGCGGGTTTTTCTTTGCTGTGTAGACATACCCAGTTAGGGGGACTGGATAGAAAGGGTGAAATATCGGGACAGGGGGTGCGGGGTGATAGGTGCCCATATAAGAAAAAAGCCCCAAAATCGGGACATCTGGTCACCCTATACCCAGTGGGGCCAGAATTTCACCCAGTGTTCCCACACTGCAGGGATATCACTCCTGAATTAACCCGTCTGGCCAACACTCAGAGCAGGGATGCTGATTGATGGAGAGAGCTGCATCCATTTCCTTTGGTTGGAAGCGGGGGGGATGGTCACAAGGATGCAGGACCTTAGAACCTACTGAACGGAAGAGAGTAATAAATGTAACAGAGAGTTTGTTTTTAAAGGAAGATGGTTAATCCATTTCTGTTACACTTCAGTGAGCCTGTGACTTTTGTTTTTATAGGTGTAGTGATACAGACATGGGTTCTAAACCACTACAGAGTGATCCAGCTGGAAATAATAGACCAAGTGGTAATGTCGTATGGTGGACTACGGGGAGCTGTTGCTTTTGCTCTAGTTGCACTTCTGGATGAGAAAAAAGTGAAAGAGAAAAACCTATTTGTCAGCACAACAATTATTGTTGTGTTCTTTACCGTTATATTCCAGGTAATTGAATTAATTGATTCTGCTTCTTAAAAAGAGGAGGAGGAGGTCCAAAAGGTATGGACGTGCCCCTCCATTTAAAGCAGTTCTCAGCTGCAGGTGAGGTACTGTTTCAGTGAGCCAAAAACATAATTGGCTTTGTAATTTTAGTAGCAAAGATCCCATTTTATGTTTTCACGTGGCACCACAGGGGACAAAATACAATTTGCTGTGTGCTAAAAAATGTTCAGCCTTAACAACTGCAGTGTATTAATAGCGCTCAGGTTAATATTTGAATGGGTATCCTTCCCCTCAGTTGAATAACCAAGGGAAACAGTCTTTTTACTGGTAATTACAAATATTAAACTGCTTTATCATACGCACTCTGACGCATGTTTTTAAAAGGTATAAAAAAGGAATAGGAAAAACATAATTCTACATGAAATCACAATTTTTGGATAAATAAATCAACATTTACTTAAGTGGAACTAAGGTGATTGACACCAGCTAAGCATCTGGCTCAGATAGATTATAATGTTCTTAATGTGTCAGCATTTCAGAACAGATTGAGAGTAGATTTATATTCTTTGTAAGATGATTTTAAAATTTTTATTAATGTCTTGTTATCTAGGGTTTGACAATCAAGCCTTTGGTACAGTGGCTAAAAGTGAAGAGAAGTGAGCACAGAGAGCCCAAACTGAATGAGAAACTCCATGGCAGAGTAAGATTTTAATAGCAATATCATGAGGGGTTGTGATTGCAATAGAAATGACTAGAGCTGATCAAAAACCAGGAAAGAAATTTCATGAAACGAGTTCCCCTTTTGACAAAAACTAATTTCAAGATCAAAATAATTTCTATCAGCTCTATAAATAATGAACCGGCTTGCCCAGTTGTTTCCTGGTCACTCTTCGCATTGCTCGGCGGGATGCCCAACTGGCTATGTTTTTTACTTCCTAAACCCTCTGGGGATGGGAGACAACCTGCTCAGCCTTGTGGGGCAATGGTGCCCATTATCCTTCATCTGGAAGAATTAGTGGTTGGGACATAGGGGCTTGATTTTGGGCAGGTCGATTGAAGCATATGAAAATAAGTTTACTGTAAAGACAAAACTTAAACTCTTAATATTGGTTTATCTGTTTAAGGGACAATTACCGGGTAAGCAATTATGAGAACACATAACTTGCATATTACATAAACAGTAGTGTATAGTCCAGTGTAAGTGCTAATTTACAAATTAGCACAGACAGGTTTCTAATCAAGACTGAATGCTGTTCACACCCCATATGTCTTGCACCTTTGCAGTCCTAGAATTTTAAAGACTCTTCATCTTCAGATCTCTTGAAATTCACCTTTAGGAGAAGGTCCTAATACACTTTTTACATAACTCCTTCCTGTACTGAATATTTTCATAGCGCTCAAGGTCAGAAGGGACCATTAGATCATCTAATCTGACCTGTATATCACAGGCCATAAATGTCACCCAGTTACCCTGGTATTGAACCCAATAATGAATGCTGTCAAGTCTACATCGTTCTGATAGTTTTAAAACTAGAAGTTACCTAGTGTGAATTAGTAACTCGCAACAATTTTTCATTGCAACAGTGGATAAGTTATACACGAGGGAAAGGTAACCAATTAAGCATGTTAACAGTTCAACTCACAAACTCAGTACTTACCTGTGTCTGAAAAATTTAGTGAAAACAAGAACTCCTGATGTGGCCTTAAATTTTTCCATTTAGACAGAGTGCCAAGTCTGACAGGTGTGTCCCATCCACCTCTGCCTCTTTGGAAACCTTAGTCTGGTCCTGCGTATACCACTGTGGCCCCCTGCTGGATCCTTAAGTTTCAGTGGACTCCAGTTCTAATGCTGCTGAATACATCTGATGTTGAGCACACTCTTGCTTGTCAGCTGAGATGGTGTTTGTCTTCAAGAGAGATGAGAGGAAAGCTTACAAAACACTCATAACAAAGGCAAAGAAGGAAAAGAATACAAAACACCCAGAAGTACCCAATATATTTTGTTCTTTCAGAGTTTCCCGCCACATAAAATAATACCTTCCAGCTGTGTATTTGTGAAGTACCTTTGGTGTGTGAGTAACAAGTTGAGGGCTACGTTATGGCATTAGCCATAGCCCTTCTTTAGATGGAGTGCAATGCTGCTCCACTACAGTGTGAGTTCCAGTAGGGATTTTGTCTCAGGGAAGCACAATGCCTCCAGGAGCTCCTAGGAAGGGCACTCAATGCACCACCCTCAAGATAGTGTAGTATACATTCCCAACCAATGGTAACGAGGTACCTGACTTATCATACCTTATTCTGTACATCCCTAACTCTCTGCTGTATATATCTGGTGAGGTGATACTGAGCATCATGCATATATTATATTCAGTAGTAATGCTTATCAAGTGCACCAGTCACAGTGTGCACTAATCTAAACCTGTCATGCTGTAGATTTCCAATAAACCAGTCAGCTTTTCAGAGTAAAGATTGAAAGAGTAAAGTCAAATTCTGCTCTCAATTACACTGGTGTAAATCTGAGTGAGAGTAATTCCACAGAGTGGAGTTACACCAGTGTAAATAAGGAACAACTGAGGACAAAGATTTACCCAAGGTGTTGAGTGTTTTACAGTCATAATAAAAGAGGATTGGTACTCACACTACATGGAGAGAAATATTCATTCTCAAAGAGTATGGCAAGGAGCTAGAAGCAACAAGAAAGAAACCTTCAGCTGATTTAGAAGAGACAAATGGCTCATGCACTTCTGACAGCAAAAAGGAAGGAGATGCAAAAGTGGGATTAGGATGAAGGAGCAATAAAAGTCAGTGTTAACAAAATGAGGTCTGATTCTCCTCTTATTTAGATTTGGGTAAATCAGGAGTAGTCAGTGGATAGCACTATGATAGAACTGGTATGAGAGGAGAATAAGGGCCTGGCTCCGTAGGAAAATGAGACGCTAATCTCAGCACACTCATGTAAACAGGCAGTAATTCTATTCATAACATTGTTCTGGATAGACAACAAATCTGACCCCATATGAATTAAGCTATTTTATAGCAACTCCCTTAACTTCCACACAATATTAATTTTCTGTTCCTTTTCGTAGGCTTTTGATCACATTCTTTCTGCTGTTGAAGACATATCTGGACAAATAGGACATAATTATCTGCGAGACAAGTAAGTGGTGTTAGCTGTCCTTATTTTACTGATCTGGGATATTTAAGGAAATGGGAATGTATTAACATAGTGGTAGCTTTGCTTACATCTGTTTGATGAGCGAAATGGGTATTTAGGGAATAACTGAATGGAGACAGCTTGGGTGACACTGGTCCCTTTCCCCTGCTCCGCCCCTCACTTCCCACTCCCTGAATTTCTGGAATTAATCACACTAGATAAAAACCACATTGTTGCAAAAATATGCATTACCTGTGCAGTTAGTAACCATTTAGAATGTTCAACAGGAAGATTTTTTTAAATTCTAATATACTTCTAAACATTGATCCAGTTTGTTTACATTTTTTTGCATTCCATTCATCTTGGAAAATGAAACTACACTGGCTATTTTCATTGATTTCATCATTGTGAGAAAGACTCTAAGGGCAATTCACAGATTAAACACCATTGCCCTCCTCTGCTTCAATAATCATTTCCTGGAGAACCAATTTTGTCTATTTTAGATAGAAAATCCCTTTTGTAAACTATGACTTTTAAGTCTTTGAGGCTGTCCAAGTGAAAGGTCTGGGATGTTACCAACGTCTTTTCAGTTTATAACACTTTAACCAGTTGATAATCCCCTGTGGATTTTTGGGGACTGTCCATCTCCCACCAATGGAACCTTTTCAGTGTCACAACTAAGGCCTGGATTAGGCCTTTGCTAATATCATCATCCATATCTAGGGATCTATGCCTGTGTAGAATTATTTGAGAGGTGGCCATTTGCACAGAATTTGAACTGAACACACAATTTTAGCCCCTCTGATACCAACTTTAGGAACCATATTTGTGTGTATGGGAAAGGATGTTAATCTGTTCCAAATTGAAACACACAAATGTTACTTCCTTGGACAATAGGTTCGTCGGCTTCCAAATATTTTCACAATTTCATTTCAATTGTATATAATGGATTATAATGAAAGTGCTCAGAAACCATGGTGATGGGCAGACTTTGAGAACTAGAGCAGGGAAGGAGAATAAAAGGAAAAAGACTATTTAAACCTGGGAATGTAGTTTCTTATAGTGCTACTTGAGGATGGGAAACCCTTTCAGCCATGGGCTTAAAGCAAACTCTTTCTTTCCCCTCTGTTCAGTTTAGCACTGCTGCAGTAGGACTGAAATAGAGAGCTTGGAGAGACCAGAAGTTTGAGCAGAACGTTATCCAAACCAGCTTCTGAGGGAATCTGGAAACTCTGGAATCTGTACAAATGTCATCTATTATGGTTTGTTCCACCATAATAGATGACATTTGTACACCTAAGATAATAGGTAACGCTCCTTAGCGTAGCAGAGTAAAGAGAGATTTCTGTTTGTTCATACAATGACGTTTTTATGAGGGGTCTCATATAGAGAAGCCATTTTCCCTTGGGTAACCAGGAATCCTGTCCTGGGTTTGGGTATTGGGAATGAATTTCTGACGATGAGGAAATAAGAGAACATTTCCTCAGATGTGGCGTGTTGGTTGTGATGGTGATGAAGCTGAGGCTTTTTTAAGTCACAGGCCAGACAGAGCCTGACTACTTCAACATAGGAGGGGAGCCTCCCTGAAAAAGGAGGAAAGGCCTGACCTAACCTAGATACTTGGCTGACTGTTCGCTTTGGTGACCAAGATCTCCTGAGTAAATGCAATCTCAAAGTTACTGAGAACAGGCACCACCTCAATATCTGAGAATAATTCACTGGGGCATGCAGGGGCTTCTCAGTGGGGCCAACCTACAAGACATTGGGTAAAAAAATCATCCATTCCTGAAGGTAAACTCTTTTACGTAGAAGGAAAGAGATTTTTTAACTTTTACTGTGAGGGTTCCTAAAGGCTCTTAAAGATACAATCGAATAGTCAGAAGTAGAAAAATAAAATGGCATTATTCCCTGGTGTATGGCATGGCCTATTGATTTTGAAACTGGAACCATTTTGTATACTGTAATCACAAACCTCTTACTGCTGTTGTTCTGCAGTAGCTGTGCCTGGTGGCTGCACTTCTCAAAAGATAGTTGTGAATTGTGTAACTCCATATAAGGCTTTTACAAATGTGCTGTAACTGTTATTTACAGAAATAAAGCAACAAAACATATTTCCCTGTGTTTATTATCCGATAAGGTGTACAGTAACTCCTCACTTAAAGTTGTCCTGGTTAACGTTGTTTTGTTGTTACGTTGCTGATCAATTAGGGAACATGCTCCCTTATAACGTTGTTTGGCAGCTGCCTGCTTTGTCCATTCCTTGCAGAAAGAGCAGCCCCTTGGAGCTAGCTGGTGGGGGCTTGGAACCAGGGTGGGCTGGCAGCCCCCCATCAGCTCCCCACTCCCCTAAGTTCCCTGTGCAGCAGTCGCCCAGCAGGCTATCAATTGCCAGCAGTTCAGCTGTCCCTCCCCCACTGCCTTGTGCTGCTCCCGCCCTCTGCCTTGGAGCTTCTCCTGGAAGCCTTCTGCTTGCTGTGCAGGGGGGGAGGGAGGTGTGCTAATGTCAGAGTGTCCCCCTCCTCCCTGCTTCTGCCCTCTGCTTACTCCATCTCCATACAGCAGGGGGGACATGGGAGCGAGATTTCTGGCAGCAGCGGCTGTCTCAACTTGCTGATCTAATTAAAAAGGCAATGTACTTAGAGTGGGGTCAGTGTACTTAAAGGGGCAATGGGCATCTCTCTCACACACAGGTGTGTGTCTCTGTGTCTGTCTGCCATGCTGTCTCCCCTCCCTCCATTTGTGCTGCCTTGTAGAGTGTGAGGCTACAATAACAACAATGTGTTAACCCTCGAGGGCTCAGCTGTTCTAGTTCATCATTTAGCAGTAAGACATTCCCTGGGAAATATTCCACCCTCTGACTTCACCACCTCAACCAAGCTTCACAATCATCATTGCTATGTACAGTATTAAATTGTTTGTTTAAAACTTATACAGTCGTTTGTCTGGTGAAAAAAATTTCCCTGGAACCTCCCCCATTTACATTAATTATTATGGGGAAATTGGATTCGCTTAACATCATTTCGCTTAAAGTCGCATTTTTCAGGAACATAACTACAACGTTAAG